AGGTAACCTTTATTTTTCATCATGGCGATAATTTATTTTTTATTATTTTTATTTTACATTTGTTGTCGTAGTAAATAAATTGCTTTCACAAACACAAACAAGGTTTCTAAAAGAAGATAGTACTGATCTTATCATTAGAACCTTTTACAAACGTGTGTTTTTTTAAGGAACAACTACCCTCATGTTTTAAAACGACACAAATTGACTAACTTTTATTATTACTGGCGATCAAAAAAAGATATGTAAAATGGTTGCTTATTGCTATGGTATCAAATAAAAATTGGTCAAAATACCAAAAAGAAACTGGGTTTACGCTGTAAAAAAATAAGTAAGAATGATTAAATAATGTAACTTTGCAAAACTATTCTAAAATAGTAAAACTGTGAATGAACTTGATATTTTAGTAATTTTTTTTTTTGTAAAAAAGTAAAAAGGGGAAATCAGGGCAACATGGCGAACGTTTTGAAAGCCCTGAGTAATTTCAAAACTATCAGTTGTGAAGCAATAATACTTTCTTGATATGTTTATGTTATTAAAATGATTCATTACCTACTTGAACTTTCAGTTTGCAAATATAACAATCTAAAATAAATATTAAAATAAAAACTTCATGATTTTGTCATCTGGTCACTTGACCAAGGCAAGATGACTTATTATGCAATTTTTGCCTCCAATTTTATAACATTTTAAAAACTACCATTAACTCTAACTAAAGTAACACAAAATAAACACACGTCGCATAAAACTACTTCTAAACTAGGTAAATTTGAAGGACACCATCCATTATGTGAAACCAAAAGTGAGGAATTTATTTAGGCGCAAATAGTAAAACAATGTGTATAAATTTGCATTAATAGTATTTAAAAAAACCAATTAGTGTTTTAAAATACAAGATGCAAATTCAGTTTAGTTTTCACCCAAATTTTTGATTTTTTGTTGAATTGTTATATGAAAACTCATCTTGCCCTATTCGCTATGTTGCCTCGCTTTCTCCTACATACTCGATAATAATAAAATATAAAAAAAAATTGAAAACTCAAAATCTAAAGACTTATTAGAAATTCAACATCATTCATATCATTACTTTTTATTAATTGGTTATACTCTGTTCCATGCAAAACAACAATAATTAAACATTCCTCTTAAATTGCGCGAACTTCATTTAAAAGATATAATAATTAAAAACCAACTAAGTATAAAATTTTAAGGAATTTGCGCAGTCGGTAATTTATTCTGGCTTCCCTATATAAATTATCTGCAGTCAATAACTGTCAAAAAGTACCGAAACTATTGGCGTAATGTATTGAGTTCGACCATATGTCGATATTTTAAGTCTCAAAATATATTATTTTGGGTTGGTTCACTGTTTGAACCAACCCAAAATATTGACTATGCAAACATAAAATGTTTGCATAGTCAATATTTTGGGTTTATTGACTATGCAAATATAAAATTGGGTAGTGCGCAATCAAAAAAATGTCTAAAAATGTATAGGCTACAAAAACACGCTTGACATATCATATACTTTAAACAAAAACGAGAACATGCAAAACCACTTGTGAAAAATACGAAAATGATGGGTATATTTGAAATAAAATTAATCGGAATCTAACTTTGTATAGATAATACTTTTGCCAGCAAACTTCAACAACAAGTTTGAAATAATTATAAATGAAAAGTGTAATCTAAAATCAAATAGCAAAAACAACGTTGCCCCCGAAATAAACTAAACTCTCAGAATTTTGTATATCTTATCGAGAACATAAAATATGGAATGACTTTTAATAGGAGAATAAATTTACGTTGAAGTCCTAAAATTTATTCAAGTTTTAAACGAAAAAAAAGAAACTTTTAAAATTTGACTATAAAAAAAAAATTTCTTTTATCGTGTTCTATTGTTTTTTTTATAGTAAAATTTAATTTGGAAGTTTCGTGCAATTGGAAACTAAATAATTTAATGCTTTATATTATATCGAAACTAAAAAGTATTAAAAATTGTTTTTTTTTACTAAGGCATACATTCCATAAATGATGTATGAGATTTCTAACAATTTTTCACCCCTCCCCTTGTCAAACTCTGTTATTTTTCTGGCCAATTTCTCCTCCTTTCCTTATATATGATGTCAGTTTTCGTATCTCTTTCCCCTTCCCTGTTCTTCGTCATTTTTTAAAATTGATTTTTGAGCGATCTATAAATGCAATTAAGAAACAGTTTGAAGCATTAACTAAAGAAGTTATTCACAATTCAAAGATAGTTTTAAAGTTTTTCCTAATTGCTAGAGATGTTTAAAAATATTTAAAATTGTTTTTGCACCGTCATGCGGGTCACTCGTCGTTTAGAAACTTTATAAACCGCCTTACGGGTCACGCGTCACGAATGGGTTAAAAATGGTACAAGGGGCCATCCATAAAGGACGTCACCAATTTTAGCCAATTTTTGACCACCATCCCCCCCCCCCCTTTGTCAGGTTGACCTTTTTCCCTATACCCCCCTTGAAAAAGACGTCATAAAATCCTGAACCCCCCCCCCCCCTATTTTTAACTCCAACAAAATTTATTTTATCTCGCAATGATGTTTGAATCTACTGCTACACCTTTGAAAAATAAAATTAAAAATATTCTCATACATTATCTTCATAAAAACACATGTTTACGTAGTTTTCCATGTTAATTAAACTAAAATAAAATATCTATAAAGTGACGTCCTTTTCTGACAACCTCCCCCCTCCCCTTGTCCTTTTTTTGTCTTTTTTAACTCGACCCGCTCCCCCCTCCCTATTTGGATGACGTCCTTTATGGATGGCCCCCTAAATAAATTGCGAACTGCGAACCGCGAACTTGTAAAATGCAAACTTTTTTGCGAACGATCGTTGTTAATAATGTAACGTTTTATAGCGGAATATTTTAATATATTTTAAGGACTTTTAAGAGAAAAAATTATTTAAAAATAAATAAAAAGAAATTGAGAGAAAATAGAAAAATACAATACAATTTTTTTTTAATTATTTAATAGACTCTCTGCCTAAACCAAACCCTCAGTCGATGTAGCAGCACTCCATTGCGAATCAGGCTATAAGATAGTCGATGTGGTAACACTTCGCGCATGATTTACAGTTAAAAACTAAAAATTTTATTTTAAATAAAACTTTAAAATAAATAATTAAGAGTTGGAGAGTTTTTTTTATTATTATTTTTATGTTAACAATAATGGTCTTTAAAATATAAGGTTTTGGTTCGCATTTTACCGGTCCGCAGTTTGCGGTTCGCATTTTACCGACAACCTTTAAAAAATGAACAACAGTTGATTTTGTTTACAAGAGTTATTTTTGTTTACTTTGTTCTTTAAAACTTATTTTTGCGTTTAATGTCACGATTTAAACTGCCATTATAAACAACAATCATGACATGGTTGGTTAACGGCAATTTAATATATCCATACATTAAGCCACATAGTTTGTTTTAATGTTTTTTTATAAGTTTCAAAATTTAAAAAAGATTTTAAAACGTAAATTTTTCTTACATTAAAAACAGAATTTTAAAGATTTTTGAATTAAAATAGTTTTTTATATTTAAATTATAAAAAAGTATTCACTTATTTATATTGTTGTTATTCAACATAACTAAATTTGTTCAAAAAAGTTTTGGTTTTACTGTCACAGTACTTGCTAGCTGCAGTTTTGTTAACAAATGGCCTTAACGTAACTTAACCAACATTAATCTCTTTGGCATTGAAAATGTTCGCGTAACTTTTGAAAATCAAAACTTGCGTACCCAAATTATTTTTTGTTTAAAAAACTTTAACTTTTATAACGATCGTTTAATAAAGTTTCATTCGCGGTTTTAGAAACATTTAAACGCGTGTTTATTAGTCTAAACTTGAAACTGAATTTTTCTAAAAAAGATTAAACGTTTAGTTGGTTTTTATTTAATTCTTTCCAGCTTAAAAAGTAGTTTAATTTATTGCAATGTTTTTTTACTATATTTTCTAAATATTATAGTTTTCGGTAATTAAAATCACGGTTTAAAACTGCTACTTATGGAGAGAGAGAACAAAACTTTTTACAAAAAAATTGAAAACCATTTAAAAAAAAGTATTTTTACTTAAAATATTTGTTTCGATATTTATTAACTTTTTATATAAAAACTTTTGATCGTTTAAGTAAAATTTAAAGTCGGTTTAAAATTAAGTAAAAACGTCAGATGAAATATGAAATTTCGAACTAAAAATCTTCGAAGAAAAATTCTACTTAAACCATCGAATTTTTTTTTTGATGACGACGAATTTTTTTATTTTGTTGATCTCTTCAAGAAACAATGGCGAAAACCTTAAAAAGTTATTTTTTTGTAAACATTAATTTGTGTAATAGGTGTATAAAAAGTGCAAATCTAATAAAAAAAGTTGTTTTATTCAAAATTCAATCAACTTAAAAACTTATGACTTTATCTTAAATACGATATTATTTAAAAAGAAATTGATAATAAAATAAAAAAAATTAACATTTTATTTTAATTTGCATATTTAGAATTTTTAATTTCATTCTTAAACATCACAAAACATAAAATAATTAATATAAATAAAATATTAAACAAAGATTTATTATTTATTAAAACAAATATTTATTAACAATGTTATTTAAAAAATTATATATTAAGAACATAATAATTAAAAACTGAAAATATAATATTTAAAAAAAACAACAATAAATCATGTAACGTAATTTATAATTTTACAAGTATAATATTATTATTAATAATAATATATATGAAAATTTATATACTATAATAATATATTTAATAATTTATATCATAATTATAACTATTAATATATTTGAAAACGAATTATTTATAAAATATTTTAATAGTAAAAAATTAAACTTTTAAATATTAAATCTAATAAACTAGTAAAATTAATTTGTATATTTAAAAACGTATTTATTATAAAATAATACATTAAATATTTCATTAGTTATTTATAATTATTGTTTTTATTTAATATATTTAAGGTATTAAATATTTTATCGTGTTGTAAAGTTTTTTAATTCATCGAGGTTACGAAAATAATTTTTACGGTACTTGATCCAAAACATCTTGACATTTGAACAACGAATCCATTCATAAAATTCTTTATCAAAATCAATGTCGTCGTGAAGTGAAAGATATAATTTTTCACAAAGATTAATCCACGGAAGAAAATTTTCTTCAAAATCTTTTTTTGTTATTAAATAGTCTGAGATGAACAACACTTCAATCTTATCTTTCGGTTTCCATCCATCGAAATTAATTGGACACCAAAAGATGACTTCGCGAACATTAGTTGAACATTGTATTAAAAGTTTTTTTTCTTCATCACTTAAAATATTTTTATTAACAAGTAACCTCGATAACTTTCTTCCAGATATTACGTAATGATTTATGAAATAATTTTTGCAAGAAGTAAAGTAAGAAGTTTTTCCATTGTGAATCGAAATACTCCACTTTCGTTTAATAATCCACCACTCTCCTCGTTCATCAACAATTGATTTAATTTCATCATTAAATGATGATTGACTTTCATAAAAACATTCAATGAATAAATCATGGTAATCTTTAAAGTCATCACTTTCACTTAGACGATCTAAAGTAAAAATAAATATTAATTATAAAAATGAACAAATAATAAAAATAATAATCAAAATTATAAAATTATATACATTATAATATTCTACATATTCATACATATAATTTTTATTAACTAATGATTGAATAAAAAACATACAATTTTTTATTTTTATTAAATAGACTATATTTTATACAATAATATTATATACATAAATTTATATTAAATTAAAATGATATAAAAAAATAATAAAAGTGTGAAACCTTTAGATAAAATAATTCATATGAAAAATAAATATATATAAAAATGTAATATAAAATATAATAAAAAAGACAATTTTTTAATTTTGTTAATTTATCATATTTCTAAAACAAAATAATTTAAATACAAGTTATAAATTAAGCATATTTAAAATAACATAACAAAAATTAGAACGGTTGTTCACACACATAAAAGATTAATAATCATGAGACATTTACACATCAAAATCAACATAATTTCATCATTAAAGCTACAAAATGTAATATATATAATATATAAAAACAAGCAACAAACATAAGATAAACCGATTGAATTTAAAAATTACAATAACATCACATCAAACGACATTTTGTTTTAAAAAGTAAAAATTAAATCCATGAAACAATCATTTCAACGCAAACAAGAAAATAATTCCTCATTCACAATTGTTTCATGTAAATCATATTTCTCTGAAACTTTTAGCAAAAGAAACAGGTTTTTTCTAAAATATCAAACTTAGACGAACGATTAAAAATAAACGGGTAAAAATGCAATTAAATAATAGCTCAGTATGTTTTAAAATTAGTATGGCATAGGTACTTACATACCATTATCATACTGTACTAGTTTTTTTGCATACTAAAGCATGCCAAATATTTTTTAAAGTAAAAAATTTGTAAATCAATAAATTCTACGCGATGAAAATATATATTTTTTGTAGCGTAGAGTTTTTGTGACGAAGGTCTTACCTTATACTTCATAAAATAATTTTTTTCAAGGTTTATAAATATGCATTTTTTTTTTGCACCACTAACATTTTGAAGGCAAATTGATTTATTTTTTAACATATTTTCTAAATCTTAATTTATAATATTCTAAATCTATTTTCGATTTACCTTTCCATAAAAAAAAACTCACTCTTTCAAACTCAATTATCGCATTTCCAAGAGATTAAATATAAAAAAAGTTTGAACATTATAAAAACACGTATTTATTTGCTCTATTATATTTAAAAAAATAAGCTTAAAGATAGAAATCAAAATATTATAAAAAATGTTACATTAAATTTAAAGGTTTACACATTTTAGCACCTTAATCTTGTATATTTATAATATAATTTAACTAATATATCAACAATAAAAAAATACTTATTATCATCAAATTTACACGAAAAACAGTCGTCGTAAGTTAAGGTTATGTAACAATATAAATTTTGTTTTAAAACATAAACTTTTTTAATAAAAACAAATAAACGAATACAAAACTGAAGAATACTTACTTACGAATTTTTAAAAGTATTTGTGACCAGTGTGAAGTTTAATAAACAATGGTAACAGAATAATTTCGTACTTTTTCCAAAAAAAACAAAACGTTTGGTTTTATATACATAAAACTCGATGATCGAACTTTATAAAAATCTTTTTACAAATTCGAACAAAAAATTTAAATCAACCGCTTAGTTTTATAGAATTATATCGTAACTATCGCAAGCGTTTAAAATGAAAGTATTTGTGAGTTCACAAAAAAAAAAACGTTTAGATCACCTTTTAAGCTTGATAACACGTCGAATAATAAATTATACATTATTTTATACAGAAAATAAACTATTAATTCGATTAAGTATAATGATGTGAAATAAATAAAACGAAAAATAAAAGTAATAAAAAAAAATTTAGTTACTGTTATTTTTTCTGACGTTATAAACGTAATTTAAACTTAGCGTAATCTAAATATAACGTAATAATAAACCAGATGAAAAAACCACAAAAAAAAAAAAAAAAATAGTGAAACGCATGTTTTTTAAACAGAATTTGTAATGTGTTAATTAATATTAGTATACATATTATTATATATTAGTTTGTAAATTAATATCAGTATACATATAAATAAACAATAAACCGAATAAAAATTAAATAATATAACTAATTTTATAAAAAATTTCTCATTATATAAACGTAACAAGACATTTGTCTTGTTATGTTTATATATATAAACTTTATATTATATAATTATATTATATAAACTTTATATTATGTAAACTTATATTTATATCAGTTATAAACCATATCTTTCACAAAATAACTTTCTTTTGCCTAATTTTATTTTTGCTTAGAGACGTTTTTTTTTTTGTTAAACACGTGACAAACAAGAGATTGAGAAAAAAAAAATTTTTGCCTAAAAAGTATAAAAATTTCACTAATTTTAAAATAATAGTATTTTCTATAAAAGCTTTGATCTTCAAAAAAATAATTAAAATTAATTATTTCTTTGAAGATCAAAGCTTTTATAGAAAATTAAAACAATAAAAAAATGGATGTATTTATCCTTGTTCGACGGAGCATATACCACAAGAGCAGATCTTCTTGTTTCATTCTACTTAACTTTTTATTTTGACAACAATCATTCAAAAACAAATCATCTAGTTAGGTTATCAGTAAAGCTACATCTTTACTGAAGGTCTTACAATTCTGTTCAAAAGTATGATTTTGTCTTGCATCCTCTATAAACTCAAGTTGGATGAGAATTTATATCCAAATTAATTCATGGTCCATAAATTAATAAACTAACCTTATCCAATAAAAAAACCTTTTGTCTTAATTGCTAAAAAAAATGAAATTAATAAATTTTAAACTATCATACAAATTTATTGAGAATAATTTATCTGAACTATGATGTACTTGTGCTATCTTTTACAAATAATGGATTGTGATCAGATTCAAAACTTTTATTTAAGACACACAAATTGAGATCTGGTCAAGGCAAACACAAGTTAATTTAAAAACAAAATTTCTTTACAAAGGTATTTATCTCTGCTTGAGGAAAACTACAAATAATAGTAGTACTAATAAAAATAATAACTGCTTTTCTTTGAAAAGAATGATAATTTATAAATCATTTCATCAAGTTGTTTTTTGGTGCATAAAAAAAAGCCATATAACTTGTAGATGAACAAAAAAGCGTTTTAAAAAAACCTAAAGTAAAAGTAAGCTAACTTAAAAACATCTAAAAAAATCTGTGCCTTGTGATTTTAAAATCAGAATAACTAGAAAATAACTTGGAAATTGAGTAATATTTTACACAATAAAAATTATTTATACAATTATTATTACGACAATATCAGAATAAATATATAGTGAAATTAAATCTATTCTCTACTTAGTTACAATATATTTTAGTAACATTATATTTGTTAGATTTGTTTTCTTTTTAGTTTTATAACTATTACAATTTAAAACACTTTCTCGTAACTTAGTAAACTGAAATGGTGAACTCTTAAACTGTGATTAATCTTATCAGTTTTAAATTAAATCTCAAATCAAATTTAGACAAAAGCAGATTTGCTTTTTATTTGAAATTTTTATTTACTTAGGTTTTTGTTTTATTGATTGTTGATATTAATTCCATATACATTATTGTACCAAAGACAATGTAGATTTAAACTGTGATTTAGCTTAAACCTCACCTATTTATGTGAATAGAAATCTAAAATACTATATTTACTATAACAAAATTGAGATGGTGTTAACCTAAATACTAGTGGTCTACTTTGAACTATGCTATTAGATACTGGGATAAAATCTTTTATTTTGCATAATTAAGTTCACCTAGCCACTGTTTTAATTCTTATTTATACAGGATTGATTGTAAACTACTTTGACTGTAAACTAGATAACTTAAGAACACCAAAACTAGTTTGTTTTAGCAGCAAAGAAGTACAAAATAATTAATTTTCTGACCGCCTGATGAAAACGAATGAGAACAAATATTTGCTTTAGTTAGTTTTTGGATTAAAGATGAACTATTGAAGTTAAGTGTATCCAATCAATTACAAAGGCAAATTTATACCGTTTTCAAAAGAGTAATTATAGATCTGTCACAAAAGGAATTAAAATTGCTTGCTTACTTTGTGACATCATTTTTCTTATCTGGATATTTTTGACCAAGACATGGCTTATTTCATTTACTATATAATGAAAGCAGATGCTGAATAAAAGAATACCAAAATTCAGCTTATAAAAAAGTGAAGCAAAACCGCCTACAAAAAGCAAAGAAGATGAACTGACACACCTAGATTTATTCCAGATCGATTAATTAATTAAAGAAATAATTCCTAACAATATTCCAAATGGTTTCAAAGATATGATTATTCAAACTTTTTCCTGAATAGTTTAGTTAAAGTTGTTACAAAGAACTGGAGAGGTTTTTTCATAACAAAAAAACGTGGTCAAATTAACTTAAATTTGTAAGTTATAAAACATTTATGAAACATGAACAATTATAAAAATGAAAGGCAAAATAAGGTAGTACTTGTAAGTGCTTAATACACAGATGTTGCTGTTAAATAATTTTTGGAAAATTTTCCTACTCAACCTAAATTTATTAGGACCTCCTCCCCCTATTTATTCATTGTTCCGGCAAAAATAGAATATATTAAAACAAAAACCAACGTTTTTTTATTGACCAACGTTTGCCACTGGCCAATAGAGAAAAAAATATATATTATTTACTAAACTAATTTTGTCAAAACTTATTTAGTATAGTAAAAAAAAAAGTAAAAATAAAAATTCAAAAAAATATTTAGAAACATTTAATAAAAAAGTCAAATTATGATTCTAAACTTCCTCAATAAAATTTATCTATTAATGATGTACATTTTCTCATACATACAATGCTCATACATACAATACAGTACATACATACATACAATGTATGTACAATACATACATACAGTATACATACATACATATATAGTATGTATACAGTATACATACAATACA